GCTAATATTGACTCACCAAAATTACCTATTCAGACATGAAAACGGGAACAAATACTTCAGAGAATAGTCTGTTTTCGGCGAATTCATTCACTTAGCTGTACAGTCACAATTATATATATATATAATTATTTTTATGTATGTGCACACTAGGCTTGTCAAACAAGAATAGAAAAAAAAATTAGTTTGGGTAATTGTTCGTGTTATCAAAATATTTCAAAAAAAATTTGATGAATAGTCTGAACTGTAACTAGGAGAGGTGGGGGTGAATATTAGTCAGCTTTCCACTAGGTTTGCATAATATTAAAAGGTTCAGAAAAAATTGGATGTTAACAGAACAGTTTACAGACAAGTATCAAGATAAATTATGTAGTAGGTGAAAAGAGTAAACAGAAGGTTAGTTAAGAAAATGATTATAATAAATGTCATGAGAAAAGTGCCGAGAACGGTATTAATAACAAAGTAGTTGAACGTGAAATTATACTCAAGGTAGAAGGAGGGCAGTGGAGAAGTTTCTTTTGTGTACTTTAATCAGGGTTTTTCATCCGAATCGTTAAGGCCTTGGCAATGCGAAGCATGTGAAGGCTTATTGTTTTCAGGAGGCTCCTTTTAAGTTTGTAGATAACTTTGAATGAATTCTCCGTATATATTGAGTGACCAGTGTTGAATATAAGTTCGATTATGGCACTCATTATTGATCCACTGTTATCTATCTGTAGCCAAGCGGAATAATGTTCTTTGACTCTTTTGATAAGGTTCACATCGAATAATCTAGATACATGTAGAAGTGGTGAGAGGTAATGATTTATCTTTGAAGTTGTGGAAGAACATTGGTAATGCAGCTACAGAAGGTGTTCTTTTTGATGCGTTTGATATACTCTTCTCTAGGATATCGGCTAGAAGGTCGTCTGTGAACTTACATTCATGTGTAGCACTTTCTTCGGCATTGAGATGTGTTTTTTTTGTTGGTTTTGAGTTTTATGCGTTTGCCTATGAGGCGTGGTGGGCGGCCATTTTTTTCAGTTAGTATCTTCTTCAAAATAGAGATCACTTCATCGATTGACTGCAGATTCTTTGGATCCTAGTCGCAAGAGATATTATAAAGTTCCGATTGCGATTAATGGGTAACCAACTGTAAATATCTGTCAACAAGCCGTTCCCTGAGCAACTGCATGTGAACACACATCAATGAATTTATGCATCATTGTCACGTCTGCGTATCTTATTTTATTTACTTATTTATTTTTTGATTACAGCTTGATTCCACACCGTATTTTTGGTACAAGTATGGAATTTTCAGCATGGATATCGGTAGCCCAAATTTTGCAGGCCGACCATAGACATCAGGTGTGCGTCGGCAGGGGATCGAACCTCGGACTATGTGCACGGTCGGCGAGAGTCCTAACCGCTGTGCCACCGACGCACAGAAGGTTGGTTTCCCACCACTACTCCCCAACCCTGCCCCAACTCAACGTAGTATACATTGTTTTATAGAGATATGAACTGTGATTAATTTAATACAGCCGGTTCCATTTATTAGTTTGAATAAAGAACGAACTTATTCGCAGGATAATACAGAGTCGTTTTACTTTCTTGGATTCTCTTCAACTGCATACATCATTAGTAAATATATTAATTGCAGAGCATTGTAACTGAAGTGATCAGTGATGTCTGTCTGTCTGGATTCAACATAGAACGTGGCACCGAAGTGCACCAGTTCGAGTTGCCACGTTCCAAATAGCACACAAAGGTAGACAAGAAGATGAGTGAAGAGAATCAATACAGTCTGACAAGTATAAGAGTGAAACAGAATGGGTAATGGTAGAAAGGAATATGAAAGATTACAGAGACTGAATACATCTGCGCTGGCCATTGACAACGATTTTGAGCCATGTCACCTATAGTCTCCAGCCATTGATTCCTAGAGTCCCGAGGGCCCCAACCAGGAAGTCTGCATCTCCCTCCCTACCTTACTCAGTTTAACTGTCAAGGACTTCATGGATTGATGAGGCCATGTTTTTGTTTGGCCACCATTTACCCTTTTCCAACCTGCACCTATATCAGCTAGGAAGACACAGTTGAGCTCCTCTGGATGCATTACTTGGAAGGCGGTAAATAAGTGAGAGCGCCTGGTCAGGTTTTATCGAGTGTTCAGTATCTACCAAGTTGGCTAAGACTGCATGATTTGCGCATTTTTCCTTCACTCACACTTCTGTTTATGATGTCTCTTTTGAATTTCGCTTTACTCTCTTTTCATGCTTTGTGTCCTACAAGGAAGGAGTGTGACAAGCTGAACTGGTCTAATGTTCTGTGCTGAAACCAGTCACTTAGTCAGTCCTCACACAATAAGTATACTTCATCATCAGCTGTAAAAACAGTACAAAAGGATTGTTGATTAAAATTTCACTTTTCGTCAGCCATATTCACTTTCATGTACCGGATAGATGTCGTGTATTTAATGTGCGTAGTCTAGTGATACTTTCTGGTTGATCAAGTTTTAGTGGATTAGATGATATTTCAACCTTCCACTGACTAGTTGCAAATTCGATCTTTGGATCGATGTACCAGAACGCCATAGTTAATTACAGATGCTAGGCGTGTTATTACTTTTTTCCTCTTGGGTTTCTAGCACAGCAAAGGGCTTCAGCAGCAAATCTCCATTACATCCTGTTCTCTCCAGTTGGCTTTAGATGGTTTCACTACTGCTCGTAAGCTCTCAACTCCTCACATGATCTCCTCCATGTCACCCTCAGACACATTTCCAACTCTCCGTTTCCCATTGGGGTTCCACTCGAGTGATGGTCTGGAGTGCAGTGTCATTCAGAGTCTCCTTGGTAGTGTGTCCGATCCGTCTCCATTTTCTTCGGAATATTTTTTGAGCAATAGGTTCTTGATTAGTTCCCTGTCAGAGTTTCGTTATGCTAATTCTTTGTGGCTAGCTATGTGATCTTAGTTATTGGAAGAAGACAGATTTTGACAATACTTTTCGTGAATCTTTTCAAACGTCTGTGTAATGTGTAACAATTCAGTCCGCCTCATTTTACATTGCTCGAAACCATGATATCATCAAAATCGAGTGGTAGTGAGATAATGTTCCGAATTGCAGACATGATGAGGCACATTGCATTGACGAGCTCATATACCGAAATTAAGGTGATCATTAGTTCAGCGTAAGTATATCAACTGTAAATCACAAGCATGGATAAATAATTCCAAATCATATCCACTGCATAAGGTATGAGTCTAATAAACCAGAAGCCTAATGGATAACTCTGGCGTTTTTAAGTGACAGGTACTGAGGTCCATACAGTCGGGAGTGAGGATGGATTTCCCGCCGATGACAGTGGTTGGTGGTCGCGCTAAAATCACGAATTGGTAGAAGTTAGAATTCATGGGCTGGTCACTGAATCGGGTTCTAGTGGCTGAATGGTATATGAGGTTGCTTTGTAACCTGAATGTCCTGAGTCCGAGCGCTAGTGTGTGCGTACTGCCAGTGATTCTCAGACTAGGATGAGACGGCTGTCAGGTGCTCCCTTGTTTTAAATGTATCTCTAACTGAAATCAGTCCGTGGTCAAACTCGAAAAACAAATCCTGGCAAATCAACTCTTGGAAATTCATAATATTAGTATTAATGACAGAATCTTATAAGATAATTAGGATAGTGATTGTCACCATAAAATTACAAATATAGGAGAATAATTGAGTCAGTGTTGAATGCCAGTGACACATTAAGTCGTAATTTTCACGTTTAACACTATCGTTATCACATAGGACGTAGGTGGGCTGGCCAAATATGGCATGGTTGAGTTTCTTTATTTGGTTGTGCGAACGAGCAAACAATCTTTTCTAATGACTTCTAGTCCTACCTGATGAGATACAAGGTGGAAGTTGGGTGCTGAGAGTCGGAAAATATAGATTTGGACCATTTCTCACAAAAGTTTAGGTGTCTGTTGACTATGATAGTTACAAGCTGACTCACTTGTGGTACACCACTTGCCCTACCGGCAACCTTTAATGTCCTTTTTTGCAATATGATACTGTCCTTTTTCAGTAGCCCAGGAAAGACTGAAGGGGAGCAGTAATAAAGAACAACAGGGAATATGCAAGAGTTAAAAAAGTATAAAAAGCAATGGTTGAATAATTCCAGATTGTCTTAACTTCTTAATGTAGATGGTGGTTAGACGGAGCATTTTCTTGATAATCGACAAAGTATAGAATGACCAAACAAGATAGGTGTGAGGATAGAAGTATTCCAAGGTATTTTATGCTTGATCTACCTTCTATATCAGTGCTGACAAAGCTACAGGAGTCATATAAACTAATGAGTTCATTAAGATCACGTTTATTCCTGAACTCGAAATTGACTAGCTGACATTTATTGGAGGGATTTAACGTAAGAGCACTAAGCTTAGACCACTAGCTAATGTTGGACACAAAGCTATTCAGTCAGTTTGGAACAGCTAGCTCAGGAAGGGATTGGCAACGAGGCAGCATGCCAGGCCGTCAGCAAAGTAGATTTCTTCTGAATGAGGCAAGTCAGTCATGTAAAAAGAAAGAAAAAAGAGGAGGAGGAGGAGGAGGAGGAGATAGAACAGCACTTTGAGAGACATAGGCTTCAGTAAGTAAGGAAGAGGAAGATTTAACTTTCTATACAGTATCTTCAGTATGAAGCTAGCGAAAGTCAGCTAGCGATGACAGTGTACAACCTGTTGGAAATTCTTTTAGTGACACATGTTCCAAATCTCTCAGCCATATAAAAGCACTGGATGATTTAACACTAGCATTGGAAAAATCCGAACCTTGGTCTTCATGCTTATTGAATACATTATCCACATGTATAATGAATTATACTGATGAAATGAAATTATGCAAAAAATGACTGTATTTTGCTGATTACCTTCTGTCATCTGTTTATCTCTTGTGTATAACGATTCATTGTCTTTCACTGATATTTAATTCAATAAGATTACACCTTCTACTTGTCTTTGTTTTTATTTCTTAGACATCAGATATTCAATCTCCGCATTGTTATGCTGTAACAAGGCGATGCAATCGAATAATTTACAATCTATTACAACAGTTATTATCCTATCCAACTGCATTGAGCGTTTTCAATTCAAACAAGGAGTGTCTCAGTGAAATGTACAATAATCTAAGCATTATGATAAAATATGCAAATGACAAGAGTATTATCGGTAAGTAGAATATTTATAAGAGTTTCAGTCAATCAAAAATTTAAATACTGTTTGTTCAGAAGACAAACAACCTGATGTTTTAGAACTGCGGATGGATGTAATCAGTAGAAAGCTCTGTACCTAAATTTCATGCTTGCTGGTAAAGTACATCTAAAAATTTCAAAAGAATTGATGTTATCTCGGAGATTTAAACCTGCATAAATCCATACTGTTGTTGAAGACGTTACGACCAAGCTAGTAGGTTTCAAGGGTGATCTTCTATAGGACTGTAATAGATGCACTGTATACTCCAGTATTAGATTTGAACCATCTAACACCGATTCAAAGTGCACCATGATGATGGGTTACCTAGTTTGGTGATCATTTTGCATCACTGACTGATAGAATCCAATCACAACTGATACAAAGGACCAGAATCATGCCATCGGTTGCTTCCTACTGATCACTCAGTGTTCTCAAAATTACCATTCCAGATGGGATTCATAAATGAAATTTTGGAAACATTTATTTCCCGATACGAATTTAAAACAGGCAACAAAGGTTAATAAATTGTCGAAACCTTCAGAGTATTTACTTCCAGAATATTTCCTCTTTATACACGGTTTTCATATAAAGTAATAATCTAAAGGGTATCGGACGACGAAGCGTTCCTGCATCTGAAGGAAAAACCTATTTACTAAGTATTTTCTTCATTATTTCGTCAAATAATTGCATAATATTTAGTTGGAGGTTAATTAAATAAGCGGGTGACTTCATTTAGTTTTTTTTGTTCTTTCACATTCCCAGTGGAACATGGGGCTTCAAGCTACAGACTTCAAGTTTACGTAGCAGTGGTGATTATTTTTACAGAATGGGGTTGCTAGCCTCATGCCCAACCTTTTCTCTTTATCAGTCTTGTTACTGGCTCAGTGAGGTTAAGAAGTGCGTCTGTGGCCGGGGATCGAACTTCGGGCCATACGCATGGTCGGAGAGCATCACAACCGCTGTGCCAGCGACGCACTCCTTCATGTTGTGGTCATCTGGTATAATTGCACGAATGAAACAATAGGAGATACAGAAGAAATACAGTTTCACGGTTGGAAATTCTGGTAGCTCAGTGAGTAAAGCAGGCCGCTTTGAGTCTGCTTTTAACTCACAATCCAATTATCGCCACGCTATCCAGTTAAGCCTTGATCAGAGTTCATATAAATTTATTAAATATTTACTTCAAATGTTATTCAGGCGGCTTCTGTCTTTTTTCTTTTTGCCACTAAAGACAAATTTTTGTCAACTACTGGAAAAGTGGAAGAGTATTCCAAATCACTTTATTCAGTCTTCACTCGAATGGATTCCTTGTTTCGAATAAGTCTTACCAAATTTCCTTTAAATAATTACTAATCAAGATTCTCTGATAAATTTTATCACTTATCTGCTTCCTCATTTATATCTGTCAAATCCCTTCAAACAAACACTTGACAACTAATCTGATTCTCACTAAGGACTGGCTCTACACAGGAAGTTCTCGTGAGAAGTCGTAACTAGCGGGCTCCATTAAGTCAGGTAAATGAACAGTTACTTGCTTGTGATATTGGCCGGCGGTTGCGCTATATATATATATATATATATTGTGCACTGGAAAGTGGGATTCAAGAGTCATCTGATTGAGTCCCAGTGGTTGAATAGTCTACGAGCTTGCCTTGTAACCTGAAGGTTCTGGGTTCGAATCCTGGTGGATGAGTACTATTGCATAGTCTCAGTACTCCCTACAGGTTTTCTAATGTTTGTGTGACTGATGTCAGCTTGTGATCACGCCTGTAAACAATGAAACCCATGCAAACCAGAACTGGATATTACATCGGTGTAAACTATGTGATTTAGTGAATTTTCCGTTGCCTGGTTTTAGTAGATGCGAAATGCTTGCTTCCTGATGGAGTTTCGTCTCTTAGTATTGAGATTATGATAATATCACCCATTGGGAATGCAGAAATATTTCTGAAGAGTTCTGAGTCATTTGAAACACGCATTTCGGATTCCACCGCCAACCGCCACCTGCTAAATAATGGAATATCTCTGCCTTGTCGGCTGATCTTTCTCTCTGTTATTATGTCTTAGGCTCGCATATTGATTTGTTTAAGTATTGCTCAATTTTATACATTATGAAGCTAGGTTAGATGGTAGGAAAGAAGACCTACCTGACCTGGGTCTCGTGTTTGTTGGGGGTTCACCAGTCAGCAAGGAGTATCTACAATCATGTCCCTTCTGAGATTTGAACCTGGATCACCCTGTGCCACAGTTAGAGACGTTCCCACTGAACCATTTGGGTTCGCGACTGATCTCCTGTAGGGCTCTATTAGATAATTTGGTGGAACACCAGATAGTAAATAACGTCTTGCACGTGACATTTTAAAATTTTTGGATTAGTCAATAAATTTGAGTTTTATGCACTGAAATATGCGCCATACAGTAATCATTATCTTCATCTAAAATGATTATATCGTCTGTACACTCCCAACTGTCGACACCTCTTCCTTGTAAAGTGTAAACCTGCAAATGGATGATTAGGAGATCCAGATATTGGGACACTACTCGGACACAGAGGTAGCCATCTTTATGCGTTTTCTGTCGCCCATGAAGTCTCAGTATTACCGAAAAATGTTCTGTTGAAGTCTATAAGTTTAACAGCCTGCACATCGGTGTTTCAACAGTGCCATGTTCGCCTACCATATAAGTTGTCCGGATTAGATTCTGATAGACTCTCTGAACATTGTCTAGTTTATTGTCTCTATGTATTAAGCTCAGAAAAGAGAAAGGGTTGAGCGGGAAGCTATCAGCCAATGAAAACAGCACCGTCTCAATTGAAGCTTCAGAGTTTGAAGCGCAGTGACTCAGTCAGAACCCAGGGAAATGAAACATTATAGAAGACTTGATTTTCAGCTGACAGACCACCGATCAACAGTTCAAACATCACTTTGTTGCTGTAATTTTTAAGCGTAATAAGTCGATAAAGACTAAGAGAAACAGATGAACTGATTGAGTAGGGCTAAATTGTAAAGGAAGTAAATAAACTGTATTTTAATGAGAATGTGATAGGATTAAAGGATTATGATAACAGAGGGTTTGAGAATATACGTAAAGGGTGGTGGTGTTTACGTCATCATTTAGTTAGGTCTCAGTTGTCCAGGAGACTTCTTTTGAATGCATTATATTATTGTTATTGTTCATTTGGTTTCCGAGTGGAACATTGGCCTTCAACAGCACATCTTCACGTTGCCCTCCTCAGCTAGCCACATGATAACCAATGACCTCTTACCTTCTTTTTCACACAGTCTCCTCTATGTCACCTCGCACTCACGCTCAACTCATTGTTTCCCATTCGGCCTGCACTCTAGGAATGGTCTAGCAGGTGATGTCATTTAACTGACTTCTCAGTGTGTGCCCAATCCATCTTCATTTTCTTCAGCCATATTTATTGAGCGGTAGGTTTTTGTAAGTTAATTCCCAGCGTTTCTTGTTGATAATTCTTTCCGATCGGTCATGTGATCTTCAGTATGGAGCTAGCAAAAGGGGCAGCTGTTGATAAAAGTCTGCAACCTGTTAGGAATGCCGTTCGTGATGCACCGTTGAAGTTTCCTACCGGTATAGAAGAATTGACTGACTTAAAATTGGTGTTGAAATTACGGATTATGTCCTTTATGGTGAGTGCAGAATATCTCCAAACTGGTTTCACTGTGATGAAGGTCTGTCTTGTCTTTCCGATTCTTGCTTCGATATCCTCATCCGTGCTGTTATCTGTAGATGGAAGGATGCCTCCTGGCCAGATAAGTCAAGGAAGTGATCACTTTTTGTAAATTTCTTCCATTGACAGTGATTGGTGATTCTTTCTGTTGTTCTTGTTTTGTTAGTTGCTTGGTTGACTGTGCTCATTACCCTTGTCTTCTACATGTTCTAAGAGATTCGATGAATCTCACATTGAATGCCTTGGTTTTCATTTGCCATTAAATGACCATTATCATTTAAGTGTGACAAATAAAACGGATTGAATTGTTTCCCCTTTTTTTAAACTTAACTGTAACTGGGCTGAAGGCATTCCAGAAAGGGTGTAACAGGATAAATATTTACTATTATGACTACTATTCTTTCTTTTTCCTCTGTCCATATAAGAGAGAAGTGTATAATAAATTCTCAAATACAATTATTGTATGATGTATTATAACGATAAATAATTCATGGACTTATTTCCCTGTTGACTAAGATGCCCCTTCACTTATATATTTGCTCCTTTGACTTTTCTTGTCCCCAATTTAACGTTATTGTAACTACTGTTTTTTCATTAACTGGGTGGACTGTGTAAATGCATGCATACTGGGTGATTGTAAATTCTTCATATTTACACTATTCAGATTAATTAAGCTTTGCATTTCCATCAGTATTATACCTAAAATATTAACAGTCAAGCAGTCAGATGGCTTGGTTGCCGGTGGCTAGCAATGGAATCCAAGACGTGAATTTCTGGACCTTGTCAGGCGAATGTACAAACATTCCAAGTGAATTGTAGTTTTCCTGCTGATATCCGTTGCATAAGACATATTCAAGTATTGGTTTGTAGAGATTTGGTTGATTGGTTACAGGATTTCATCATGAGCTGACATCAATTAGAGAACCATTAGAAAACCTGGGAGTACTGAACAGCTGTTTCGTCCTAGTTTGTGACTCTTCACCAGTACGCACCCACCGGGATTCGAACCCAGGTACTTCTGGTTACAAGGCGAGCCGGCTCGTATACCATTTAGCCACTGGGATCCGATCCAATGGCCCATGTATTCCAACTTCTGCCAATTCACGATATGGCGCAACCGCTAGCCAATGTCTTCGGCGAGTATTTGTCGTCACACCCAACCTGCTGCAGCCTACTGGTCACGACTTCTCACTGGAACCCCAGGTACTCCCAGGTTTTCCAATGGTTCTCTAACTGATTTCAGCTCATGATGAAATCCTGTAGCATAAGACATATTTTGGATGTCTCCGTAGCTTAGTGGATTACAAACGATGGGCAGTGGATTCGTGTCACGACGGGGATTGACGCATTTATTGGGAGAAAGTAATATACATCTGAGAAGTCCCAAACAGAAGAAAGTGCAAATCATAGATTCTACTGGCAGTTATCACCAAAACAAACAACGCTAATGTTAACTCACCAAAATTACCTATTCAGACATGAAAACGGGAACAAATACTTCAGAGAATAGTCTGTTTTCGGCGAATTCATTCACTTAGCTGTACAGTCACAATTATATATATAATTATTTTTATGCATGTGCACACTAGGCTTGTCAAACAAGAATAGAAAAAAAAATTAGTTTGGGTAATTGTTCGTGTTATCAAAATATTTCAAAAAAAATTTGATGAATAGTCTGAACTGTAACTAGGAGAGGTGGGGGTGAATATTAGTCAGCTTTCCACTAGGTTTGCATAATATTAAAAGGTTCAGAAAAAATTGGATGTTAACAGAACAGTTTACAGACAAGTATCAAGATAAATTATGTAGTAGGTGAAAAGAGTAAACAGAAGGTTAGTTAAGAAAATGATTATAATAAATGTCATAAGAAAAGTGCCGAGAACGGTATTAATAACAAAGTAGTTGAACGTGAAATTATACTCAAGGTAGAAGGAGGGCAGTGGAGAAGTTTCTTTTGTGTACTTTAATCAGGGTTTTTCATCCGAATCGTTAAGGCCTTGGCAATGCGAAGTATGTGAAGGCTTATTGTTTTCAGGAGGCTCCTTTTAAGTTTGTAGATAACTTTGAATGAATTCTCCGTATATATTGAGTGACCAGTGTTGAATATAAGTTCGATTATGGCACTCATTATTGATCCACTGTTATCTATCTGTAGCCAAGCGGAATAATGTTCTTTGACTCTTTTGATAAGGTTCACATCGAATAATCTAGATACATGTAGAAGTGGTGAGAGGTAATGATTTATCTTTGAAGTTGTGGAAGAACATTGGTAATGCAGCGACAGAAGGTGTTCTTTTTGATGCGTTTGATATACTCTTCTCTAGGATATCGGCTAGAAGGTCGTCTGTGAACTTACATTCATGTGTAGCACTTTCTTCGGCATTGAGATGTGGTTTTTTTGTTGGTTTTGAGTTTTATGCGTTTGCCTATGAGGCGTGGTGGGCGGCCATTTTTTTCAGTTAGTATCTTCTTCAAAATAGAGATCACTTCATCGATTGACTGCAGATTCTTTGGATCCTAGTCGCAAGAGATATTATCAAGTTCCGATTGCGATTAATGGGTAACCAACTGTAAATATCTGTCAACAAGCCGTTCCCTGAGCAACTGCATGTGAACACACATCAATGAATTTATGCATCATTGTCACGTCTGCGTATCTTATTTTATTTACTTATTTATTTTTTTGATTACAGCTTGATTCCACACCGTATTTTTGGTACAAGTATGGAATTTTCAGCATGGATATCGGTAGCCCAAATTTTGCAGGCCGACCATAGACATCAGGTGTGCGTCGGCAGGGGATCGAACCTCGGACCATGTGCATGGTCGGCGAGAGTCCTAACCGCTGTGCCACC